ATAATTATGGCAAAATACAGAGAGAGAAGGATTAGTAACACAAAATAAGACTTTTGAAAAGTAATGATGAAGAAATTTTACTGTACAGATATGAGATTCACCAAATTGAGTGGTTGTCCGAAAATTGATGCTGTTTCAAATCAAAAATGTAAAAAAAAATCTACCTCTTCCAAACAGGATCGAATCAACTTTCTCCAAGTCACCCCCAAGTGTATTGATTCAGACCCAAATTCCACAACTCAAAGAACCTAAAACAGCTCAAGATTCCAAAATTCAAAGTCCCTAACGCAACTGCAGACCAAAAGTCAATAAATATTAGAAAACAGAGTGAAAAAGCACACTCTTGAATCATACAGTCAACAAGCATAAACTTCAGAATCTATTAATTTTTCTGCTCAGAAATACGCTCATGGCTTCAATAACACATAAGCTTAACTGATTATGAAGCTTAAGGGTATCGATTATAAAATCAATCATTCAAAGCTTAACATTTCTGGCTAAAAAAGGAAAGAAAGGCGGTAAAATTGTGTAGCAGAAACTGAGATGATATTATACTTTCCACCCTCTGTTCTCTTTACTGCACAAAATCCCAGAACGAAAGAATGCCCATAAGATTTACTATTATCCATGCTTGCTTTCCAACAGATATATATTTTAATTCCTATAAAAGTAGAAAGCAATACTCAACAGTCTCCCTTTTTTAACTCCCCTCCTTCATTTTGTCTTTCTTCTAATACCTATTATTCCAAAGAAGAAACAGAGAAGCTATTTACCTGTTCATTTCCAGTAAAAGACAGCAAAATATGACTGATTAAGACCCATTAAACAAAAATAATTGAAATGAAAACTATTCAGCAATACCTTCAAAACTCTATCCTAAACCACATGTGAATAAGACGAAGTCATAGTCAGAAACCCCCATATAGCTTTCAATGACTTTTTTACCACCTAAAAGATGAGAAAATAAACAATAAATCTATCATTAAATTTCTGACCCCAACTTCCAAGTACAATGAATCAATGCTTCACTAAAAACATAGAAAATATGGACGAAATTAGAGAGTACAAATGAAACAAACTTCATGTTTTTAGTGCAGATTCTTACAATGTAATTATGAAACTGATGGAAATTTATCTTTGATTTTTATTTACATCTGTAAAAACTCATAAAATGAAAATCTGAACAGCAAAAACTAAGTGCTTTTTTAAAAAAATTAAAAAAATAAATTAAATTATTGTTGTTGACGGGTTAGTTATGGTCCCCCATCTAGGGTTTTATTGAAATCCACAGCGAGGAAAAACTTTCGCACGAGTAGAAAAAATTGTTTTCCCGAGGAGAAACGCGAGAAAAAGGCTTCGTCCTCTCCACATTCCTCTTCTTCGTAATCGCAGCCGTAAAATAAACTAAACTTCTCCACAATGACGTGTATACACATCAGAAAGCCATTGCCAAAAAGCTTTTTCCATTTCCAAAGCTGTAACTTTCACAAAATTCTCCAATTTTATGAAATTTTCTTACAAATTTGGAAAGCTTCAGCACATAATGCTGCAAAAAATCC